GATGTGTATAAGAGACAGACTTTAAGCTTTAAAATTCTTTTTTGATCATTCCGATACGATCATTTTTGACGAAGTTACACTCTCTTGAAATTTGCCTATTTTTAGTGATCAGAATGGGTGATGCTTTAATTTTGCTGTCGAGTGTATAATACGAGGTGTATCTATTAAATAACGAAACTGATTAAATAATTCACCTTTATTTATACGTATTACAATTTTAATGCTTTAATGTCCTCTTGGAACAAAAAGCATTTTACGACTTTTATTTATTCCCAAATAAAAGTCGCAAGGTGCTAAATCGGGCAAATATGAAGGATTCTCACGTTCCTCGCTGAATCTTTTGTGCCACTCAAATACGCGTGCACAAGACAAGCAGTCATTCCCATAAGCCGTAGTAAGCATTTGAAAACATTCTGTTAGTGTTTTATTTAATTTTACTAAAAATTTCAAATTGATACGTTGTTCAATCTTCAAACTTAACATAACGAGATACTTGTATTTCGGCACACTACAGAAAACACAACCGAACTAAATGGCTACTTACAATCAATTGAACGTAATAGAGTGTTGCTGCGTGTCATGCGAGTTCAGACACGTTCAAGGTCACCCTGTATGCACTTATAACCGGTTCTAACTGCTTTGTTTATGAGATGGAGTCACAGTCTTGTTATTTAATAGACACATCTCGTATTTCGCATAACAAGTTCTTGATTTCCAAAATAAGTATACGAATTATAATAATTATTTCGTATGTATAGATTGTTATAGATAAAGAAAAGTGTAAACTTAATACGGATGAAAATAGATCATACAAATAAGAGCTAATATTTTGTTTTAGCGATGCCTATTAAGTTTGAACTAAATTCTACTCATTGAATAAAATGAAGTCAATTATCGAAATGATATTTTGGACAGCATGCTTTTTACACATTACCGCACCGATAGAAACAGCAAAAATCTTGGCAATTATTGCAATACCATCCTACAGTCATCAAATTCCTTATCGACCAGTATGGATTACTCTGAGTCAAAAAGGGCACGAAGTTGTCGTTATAACAACGGATCCAATCAATAATCCTAGTTTGATAAATTTGACAGAAATCAACTTTCAATCCAACTATAAGATATTCAGACGAATAAATTTCGTCAAAAACTTGGAGACCCATCAGTGGCTAAGTACATTGCGCATACAAATATGGCCTCAATTTCAAGAAATAGTAGAAAACATTTATAAGCATCCAAAAGTACGTAAAATGTACGCACCGGATAGTAACCAAAAATTCGACGTAGTAATTGTAGAAACTTTAGTAACACCTGGCTTATATGCTTTGGCGCATAGATTTAATGCACCTCTTATAGGTAAGAATAATTTTATATATGAAATCGTTACATAAATGTTTCATTTAAAATTTATTTTATTTCAGTAAAAATATCGGAGAAAATAGATTATTTCAACTTTCAAATTTTTAATATTCTATAACTTCATATATGTATGCATACACATATATATATATATATATATATATATAAATTCCATATTAGATTTAAAAAAAACTTCATAAAATTAAAAAATGCACTGTTACTATCTATTTGATTTAATGTAATTTTTTACTCCCTTTGCGTCATTATACAATAAAAAAATTACAAAATTTATATTAGACATAAACAAATAATTATCTTAATTACTTCTCCTACTATTTCTCACGATACGTATACATTTAAAATAATGTAAAATTACAATATTTTTATTTCTAATTCTTCTAACTCAAATTTTATTTTAAATTAATTGCTTATAAAACTTACTACACTTATATTACTGTACTTACTTACAGGCGTATCAACATTTGGATTGCTTAGCAGTAATTATTACTTACGCGGTGCACCTATTCTGTCATCACATCCTTCGACTTGGGAAATAGAAGATGACACTGGTTTTAATCTGTCGTTGTGGCAAAGAATAAAGAATTTTATTCGTCAATGGCATTATATATATTACGTATTAAATCATTTTTATCCTGGTCAGCAAGCGATAGCAGAAAAATATCTCGGAAAAAATATACCGGACGTGAGAGATATGGAAAAAAACATGAGTTTTGTTTTTCACAATCAACAAGAAGTTCTTTCGTTTGTTAGACCGACAACATATAATGTTTTAGCATTTGGAAATTTTCATATTTCAGAAAAACCCGCAACTTTACCAGAAGTAATTATTGTATTCAAACTATATATTGTTGAAATATTATGTTTAAAAAATTACACTTTTTATTAGCTTCATATCTAAAGGAGTATGCAAAAAGTAGGAAAAAAACTGAACATAAAATTTTGCTCTATAACTGTCAACAAACATTTTGGTGTTTAAGAATGTAACATTAAAAGAATTTTACGAGAAATCACCAGAAGTGCTAAAATGGTGGATTAATCTGTGCTGCTCCTACTAGATTTGTGTCGAAATTTTGCATCAGTAAATGTGTGCGTGCATGCGTGTGTACGAATCAATTGGAAGACACGACAAAAATAGATGAATAGACGAAAAGAAACATAAATCAAAAAGAAGATTACTCTAATGAGAGAATGTACACAGTCTGCACATAGGGGTTATATAGAGAAAAGTGGGGAGATCGTTACGCGACTTTTCAAACGTTCAATGGTTGAAGACTATGCGCGAAATGGACAAGCTTTTTTTATTCTATCTGAGTATAGTATTTTTTTTATTTATATTTTTCTTTATCTATCTGTTTATTTTTGTCGTGTTTTCCAATTGATTTTCTGACTTTCTTTCGAAAAACAAAGTTGAGGAACAAATGAACAAGTGGATATATATTTCTTGAATGTCAAATAGAGATTTTTTTAAACAAATACGGAGTTGACCATAGTGAAAGTATTGACGGGCGAATGGATTCGAATGGCAATGCAGACATAAAATCGGACTACGACAGCGAGTGAGCTTCATACTAATTGGTAAAATATACTTCTGATTAAAATTGATTGATCGCGAATATAGCATATCAATATAAGATTCGATCGGTGATACTAAGAAACAGGTCCGACGTGGTAATATCATGGTGGGTTTTCCATTTCACTTTCAACATTCCAAATTGTCAGAATACGCCTGTGTTCGAGTTTGATTACATGAAAGTTAAAAAAAAACGGAAAAGAGATAATTCGATTTGAAGATTCTGAGTCTCACAATTTATTTCTAATGACAATGACATGCTCGCTAATCGTTCTGATCGAGACGCTCGGTGAGATTGACTATTGGATACGCATGGCGAACGCTTAGGCGAGCAGAATCATCGACTTGAAATCAGTTGATTGGTCGAAAAAAACTGTTAAGTACGAATAAGACTCTCGAAGGCTGAATATATTTACAAACAAAATATATGTGGCTGACTAAGATTTCAATAAGCCGAGGCAGTAACATTGTATGTGAAGTTTAATGGCGAATTTAACGAACAACGTCGAGAGATGAACGAGCTTCTTCATGAAATTATCGATCAACCTCACATACAATGTTACGGTAAATGTTTACCTTTACACAGTCAGCCCCAAATGACTTCTGACTGACTTTGACCTTAATCTTGACTCTTAAGGAGTGACTATCAAGAAGGTTTAGCCGTCGCTCGTTATTCGTTAAAAAGTTATTAACGAAAAAAGTACAAAAAAAAATACGT